CACCATCGGGCTGTCCAATGAACAACTGGGCAAAGTTTGATTTGAAGTTTCTCCATAAAGAAGGACTCAGCCACTTCTGTACCAAGTCTGGCCACAACACAATTTGGGAGGTCAAGTATGGCCAGCACAAGGAAGTATAAACCATAGTGCTGTCTGGGAACTCTATTAGTTTTGTAAAAATATGGGTAAGCACATTGTTCACCTTATGTTCACCTGCTTTATGCTTTATGAGAAAAACCTGGACTTTGTTGGAATTGTAAATTGGTACCCTCTTTTCTTGCCAAATACCATGAGACTAGAACAATGGACAACCCCTAAGAGCCCTCTTCCTGCAGTGCTCATAGCCCCAGAGTTGTTTCTCCCTTATCCATACCCACAAATGGACCTGTTGACTATCGGGAAAGCAGGAGACTTAGGATTTATGGCTTTGTGCCCACTTCAGGAGGCTCCCCAGGGATGCAGGAAATATCCAGGATCCATGTGCCTTTCTCCTTGAAAGTTATAGGCCAGATAAAGCCAGATCTAGGGAGATTCTCGAATGACCCTGAGAAGTACATAATGAAGTTCCAGGGCTTTCTGCAAATGTGTGAAATGGCATGGAAAGTTATAATACTCATCTTAAATCAAAACTTAAAAACAAACAAAAGAGTACTGTACAAAAGTACATAACTTGATTATGTACTTAGCTGAGTCATATAATCATTTCTGGAGAATTCAGAATCCTTTGATAAATAAAATATATTCCACAGCGCAGTGGCAGTCTCTCCTGTAGACTCAGGATGGAATTACAACCAGCCAACTGCTGCTTGGTGCCTAGACACTGTGAGTTACAGAGTAGGGAAAATAACAAGAAGCAGAGACTGACCCCTTAATTATGCTTTGTTGATCATTATTGAGCAGGAACCAGAGAAAACACCCACAATATCTTTAGAGTGTCAGGGAAGCAATTAGAAAATACACTACCTAAATCCTGATCCTATGCAAGGTGAACTAATCTTATGGAAAAAAATGTTTATGCAGGCTGCCCCAGATATACGGAGAAAGTTTCAGAAGAGAGGTGTGGGTCTGGAGGTTGTCCTTGGAGAACTATTGAAAGGGGCTTTGGCAATCTATTGCAACAGAGAACAAGAGGGCACAGGAAGAAATAGAGCCCAAGAGTGGTTTTGCATTTGAGGACTTCAACAGAAACTCAAAAGGGATATGCCACTTCTGCCATCAGGACGGGCACTGGAAAAGTGAATGTCCAAATAGGAGAAACTTCTGCAGAGACCCCGTCCATGATAATAACAAGCACTGGTTACAGGACTACCCACCAAGTCCTAGGTCCCAGAAATAGTTGCTCTAGAATCCAACACTGCAAACTACAGGGACAAGAAGTTTGAAGCACAGCATCTACAAAATAGATATATATTTTCAAGGTTAATAATTGTTTTCTTCTCTTGGAAATGGTTCTATGTCTTTCTATAGGGGCAAGGGAGTACTTTATACTTTCTATTTCTTCATATGAGAATATTTGCTCTAATGTTCTTTGGTTTTAGTGAAATGGGATTTAGTTGCCACATGTCTAACCATGTCTGTCACACTAGAGTCTTGAAACCCCAATGATCATTCGACCACCATCATAGAAACTAACCACAGCTTCACCAGAGCTCCAGTTAGGGAACAGGAGTTGTATCCTAGGGGTCCAAAGAAAGACCAGCACCCACATGTCAACAAGAAGTCATTTCAGAAGATGGGCCTTTGGCCCAATCCCTAAAATAAATTTAGGGTAATCACTCCTGACATTAGGAGTTAATGCTTTAGGGGATAAATTAATAATTTAGGGGAATTCTTCAGCAGAAGCTGAGGTGTAGAGTGCTAGGTCACTTTCAATCTCTGCCTATGGACCAGGCAATCAGAACGTAGAATAGGATGGCTTGGGGTGGGACTCGGCAGTAGATAAAAGGAAGCCCCCCTCCCTCTGTCTCTGAGCACACATTCTCTGGACTCTCTCCTCTCTCCATGGATCAGGTCTTTCCTAGACATGGGGCTCAGACCCAGGCAGGGCTCAAGATGCCCTGTAGTGACAAGGCACTGAGCACAGGACTCTCACCCACACACACATGAACATGGCCAGAGAGTAGGAAAGCAAGGACTGCATGACAGGAACTGCTGGGATAGAGCTGTGAAGCCCATTTGATGGTACAGAACATAGGATCTAATCTGCCTGGGCAGCTGTGCTGGAGACAGAGGAAAGCTTAGATGAGATAGAGAGCAACGCAGGGACAGGACCCAGGCATTGTTCGTGGGGGGGCAAGTAGACAGCTTGGGACAGGACAGGGAAGTCGTCCACGGGTCCAGAAAGTGTCAGGGACAGGACATGGCTATCATTCACAAGTAAAGGTGAGGCCTGGACATCTAGGGAAGGACCTGGAACCATTTATTTTTCTGTACAAGAAACTAACTTTCAATCTTCTGAGTTTTAGGTGCAAATATTTCATACAATTCTCCCAAACCCACCACCGCTTTCTTGCTAATGAGAGTGCAGCAGGTATGGCATTTGCCATTCTTTAGCTCTTTGGGTCACACTGGCAATGCTCATGGGTTACTCCTGGCACTCTAATTACTCTTGGCAGTTCTCGGGGCACCATACAGGATACTGCAGATCTAAGCCAGGGCGGTCTTGTTCAGGGAAAATTTCCCACCTGCTGTACTATTATTACTATTATTATGCTGGAGCGATAGCACAGTGGGTAGGGCGTTTGCCTTGCATGCAGCCAACATGGCCGACCCGAGTTCGATTCCTCCGCCCCTCTCGGAGAGCCCGGCAAGCTACCGAGAGTATTCAATATGCCAGACACAGTAACAACAAAGTCTCCAATGGAGACGTTACTGGACCCGCTCGAGCAAATTGATGATCAACGGGAGGGCCTGTACTATTATTACAGTAGGGCATTTGTTTTCTACACAGCCAACCCAGATTGGATCCCTGGCAATTTATGTGGTCCCCTAATCACCAATAGGAGTGTTCCCTAAGCGGGGACTGTGGAGTAAGCCCTGAGAAAAGAAGATAAATAAAGGATAGAATTGGTGAAAAAGAAGAAGGAAAAGAATGGTGGGAGGAAAGGCTAAAAGAAGACAGAATTGAAGGAGAAGGGAATAAGCAAGAATGAAGAAAGAAATCAAAGAAAGAAAGTTAGAAATAAGGGAAAGAAAAACCAAAAGAAGCAAGTATCAAAAGTAAGAAAGGAAAGAATGGAAGGAAGAGGAGAAGAAGGAAGGAAGGAAGGAAGGAAGGAAGGAAGGAAGGAAATCCAGAAGGAAGGAAAGAAGAAGAAAACTGGAGGATTCCAGGACTGAAGGAAGGGAGGGAAAGAAAGAAATCGGATGGAAGGAAGAAAAAAGAACGAACGTATTAAAAAAAGGGGGTAAATGGAGAGGGGAGTATGGTAGGAGGGAATGAAGAATGGAAGAAAAAGGAAGGTAGAGAAATAAAGGAAGAAATAAAATAGAATAAAAGAAACAAAAGAAAGAAAAAGAAATGGGGAGGAAGTGAGGGAGGAGGGAATAAATGAGTGAAGAAAGAAAGGAAGAAAAATAAAAGGAAGAAAAAGAAACGAGGATGGAAGGAAGGAATGAAGGAAGTAAGGAAAGAAAGAAATGGAAGAGAAAGAAGGAAAGAGTTAAGAACAGAGGTAGGAAGGTGTAGAGAGAGCAAAAAGGAAAGGGAGAAAGGAAAAAGAGAGGAAGGAAGTAAAAGAGAAAGATGAAGGACGTAGGAAAAGAGGGAAGGAGAGAAAGGGAGAGAGGAATAAGAAAAAATAAAGGAAGAAAACAAAAGAGAAAGAAATAGAAAAGAAAGATGGTATGAAGGAGAAGGAAGGAAGGAAAAGGGAAGGAGGAAGTGGAGGGAGGGAAGGAAGGAAGGAAGGAAAGAAGGAAGGAAGGAAGGAAGGAAGGGAGGGAAGGGAAGAGGCAGGGAGGGAGGGAGGAAGGAAGGAAGGAAGGAAGGGAGGGAGGGAGGGAAGGAGGGAAGGAGGGAGGAAAGGAGGGAGGGAGAGAGGAAGGGAGGGAAGGAGGGAGGGAGGACTGGAGGGAAGGAGGGAGCCAAGGATGGAGGGAAGGAGGGAGGGAAGGATGGAGGGAATGAGGGAGGGAAGGAGGGAGGGAAGGAGGGAGGGAAGGAGGGAGGGAAGGAAGGATAGTAGGAGGGGACGTAGGGAGGCAGGGAGGGAGGAAGGGAGGGAAGGAGGGAAGGACGGAGGGAGGGAGGAAGGGAGGTTAGGACGGAGGGAAGGAGTGAAGGAGGGGAGGGAGGGAGGGAGGGAGGGAAGAAGGAAGGAACAAAGGAAGGATAGGAGGAGGGGACCAAGGGAGGGAGGAAGGGAGGGAAGGAGGGAAGGAGGGAGGGAGGGAAGGAGGGAAGAAGGGAGGAAAAATGGAAGGATAGGAGGAGGGGAGGGAGGGAGGAAGGGAGGGAAGGAGGGAAGGAGGGAGGGAGGGAGGGAGGGAAGGAGGGAGGGAAGGAGGGAGGGAGGGAGGCAGGGAGGGAGGGAAGGAAGGAAGGAGGAAAAGAATGAAAGAAAACACCCCCCCCCCTCAGTTCCTGTGGGCAGACACTGGGACACTCCCTGTCTGCCTGTGGGAGTGTGGGAGCCTCACTGGAGGCAGGTCAAGGTGAGCCTAATGAGTCTGTGCAGAACTGGAACTTGTACCTGGACCGACCGTCCTTATGTCTGATGTCTTCTCCATAGATTGGCTGTCCAAGCGATGGTCCTCTGCATTGCTCTAGGATGGGAGGGAGGAAAAAGAATAAAATAAAAAGGAGAAAGGGAGAGGGGAATACAGTAGGAGGAAATGAAGAAGGGAAGAAAGAGGAACACAGAGAAATAAAAAGTATTGAGGAGTACAGCACTGGATTATGGATTATGGCTTATGGATTCTGAAGTCTCAGCTTCTTCCATGTGTTCTTCTGTGTCATTTTACATGACTTACGTATATGTAACTGTACTAGGCACATTCTATTCTACCAGGACTTCTTCAAGCTCTTGGTGACTACCAATGTGTGGCAGTGATGTGGAAGAAGTGACTGAAGTGTCTGGTGACGAAGACAACAGGTTGAATTGCTCATCTTCGTCCATTGGAACAGTTTTACTTTTTGATTTCCCCCTTAACGTTTTGCTAATGTTCTTCGCCTGCTTAGAAATGTCACTTTTGATGTCAGAGATATCCCATATTTCTAGGAACAAAGAGCAACATGTTCCTCGTTCTTCGTCTCCCATATAAGGGGCATAAGAGAAGGTGTAGTGGTGGACTATGGCGGCAATGAACATTTCTATGCAGATGATAAAGTCCTGCAGCCCCGTGGCCACTGTCTCTTCTGTCTGCCACTCCCAGGTGGAGTTCTGGGAAATTACACCAAATTTCACCAGCAAAGCAATCAACACTGCTTGCCAGAATGTGACAAAAACGACAAGCTTCACACAAAGGAACTTTCCTATTGCCTGGATGGGCCTCAGCTCCTCTTTCAGGGCTTTATGAAATATCAGGAGGCTATACATGGCAAAGAACTGGGACACGTTGTTGATGATGACCAAATACATCCAGGCTCTGTGCAAGCTGAAGGTTCCTTCACTGTACACCTTGAATATCTCACAGATCACGGCGGCGTAGGTGGTGATCAGCCTGATTAGGATGTACTGCAGCACTCCCAGCTTGCACCGGTACAGCAACACCTCTCCCACGGGGCAGGGCGGGCAGCAGCAGAAGGGTATGGGGGGCTGCGTCTTCTCTTTGCCTTGCATCATAGCTTCCAGGTTGGGGTACTGGCTCTTCAAGTAGTTGAATAGGAAGTTCATAAAGTTGTAGAGGACATACGCTTCGTAACACTCCCGCATGGTGTCCACGTAGATGGCGATGGACGGATACTTAAGAGCCACCCAGCTGTCTATGCTGTACACGGGCACCATCCAGAGGATCCTCATGATGGGTTTCTGAAGCTCGGGCCTCGTGTAGTGCACCAAGTGCTGCAAAATCTCCCAGAAGGTCACGGGGATGGTGAACAGCACGAAGATCCCGGCGATAAACCACGCCTTGGTGTGGATACTGACTTCCAGTTTCTGCAGGTGCCACACACCCAGGGGGATGGTCACGACCACGGCCAGCAGATAGAGGGTCAGCACTAACGGTCGGATCCAACGCCTCCAGTTCTTAAGTTTAGGCACGCACGTGTCGAGCATTTCTGAAAGGTTGAAGGCAAAGAGCGCAGAAAGTCTCTGAGGCCCCTGCGCTGAGGTCCAAGGTTATAGGTGGATGCGCATTCCATGTAACAAAGCAGCAGTGTGACATCAGGGGTACCGCTGGGCGCCGCCCTCGCTGTACCACTGACGGCCGCCGGGGGCGCTGCGGGCAGCATCCTCGCTGCTTGCCTGCATCTGGCCCCTTACAAAGTCCTGGGACCCCTGGCGCGACCCCTTGCCCCTGAACCCCTGCACTCTGTCTGGCCTCTAAAGGAGAGCAGTGGCCTACATTGAGATGGTCCCGGCCCCTTCTCTCGGGGCCAACCTTCCACCCTGGCTCTCCTGGTTCAATCTTGCTGATGATGTACAGGGGTGAGGCCCAAGAGGGTCTTTCACTCCCTGGGAACTCCCCGGACTGTTTGTAGACTCTGGAGCTGCTTCTGCAGGGCTCTAAGGAAATCTGCCTGGAGCCGCAAACCCCGAGTCCAGTTCATCAGAGCAGAGCGCCCTGGTTGCCTCATTCCCAGGCAGATCTGCTTTCCCGGCCTCAGGTTTTTGTGGAATCATCTACTACATACAGTGTTCCTGTCTCATTAAGCACATTAAGCAATTAAATAAGTGGAGGGAGTTCATCCTTCCCCTAATGCTGATCATCCTGGCATTCTTAATGATCGTGGTATGTCCTGAATGTGTGATCGCTGCAGAAGCCTAGTTTGGAACATAAAACCCAGCAACAATCCAATATAAATACTGATTTCAAGGGCTGGATTGATAGAACATCAAAAGTGTTCTTGCCTTGTAGATAGCTGACCTGGCTTAGATTCCCGATACACAGTATGGCTGCTCTGACCTCCACCAGGAATGAGGCCTGATCATATGGATTGCAGTACACCCAGAGCACTTTCAGATGGGACAAAAAAAAAAACACTGATTTTGTTCTCCAAAGCTCATAATGAATGCTGATAAAATGTAACAAGATTGAAAAGATTTCAAAAATTTATTCTCTGAAAAACCTGGCTTAAAGTAGAAATTAGGAAAAGACAGATGTTGGAAAAGCATCAATACGCTTGTAAGTTAAACAGTAAACTTCCAAAGAAGCATAGGCATGTGGAATACAAAATTCAAATCAGCATTTTTAGTTGCATAAACATGTGAAACAAATTAGTGTGATTAATGCAGTCTCTCGAGGAAAAAAAAACTTATAAATGCACTTCTAGTGAGGTGTAGAGATATATCACAGGGGTTAAGAGACTGGCCTTGCACATGTCCAACCCTAGTTTGACCCCCAGCACCACATATGCCCCCCAGAAATGCCAGCAGCAACACGCACAGACTGAGGCAGGAGTAGTCAATAAGTACCACCAGGGACTTGTGGACTCTCTGAGCCCAAAGGGCAAGTCTTCAAATAGATCCCCAAAGTTTCTACCCTTAAAAGCTAGAGAAAGGGCTGGGCGTGAACTACACAAGATGGAAGGCATGACTTGTATGGGCACGGCCTGGGCTTAATCCTTAACAACCACATGGTGCCCAGCACCATCCAGAGGCCCTGAGTACTACAGGAGTGACTCTGGAGAATTTCTGAGGAGAACCCAGCAAAAGTAAGAAAGTAGGCCATGAAGAACTACCATATCAAAAGTAGATGAAGGAAATAAGAAATAAAGACATGATTCAGCTGACACAGAATATATAATGTTGAAATATTAACACAACTGAGAAATCTCAAGATAGACTCACCGAGAACAACAGAAACTTATCTCCTACCCTGTCAGATGAGAACTAGAAACTCATCTCATACACTGTCAGACTACAGTTACAACTGAAAATCTTACCTAAGGGCTCTGGTTTAACTGTAACTCTCCAATTCCATAACAGTTAAAGAATGTTACAAACTTAAACCCAGTAACAAAATCTCCTTCAATCCCTACCTACTCTATGTAATAGACATAAAGGCTATACAAGTAAGCATCATATGAATAAATTACTTTCAAAAAATAGCTTCCATATTCAACCTGATTTCAAACTCTTTGTGAAAATAAGAAACAGGCACAAGTTTACAGCATTTCAAGATACAAAAAGTTATTAATATATGTATGCTTCTATGCATAATACTGCAATTACCTAGCAAGGGTTGTGGTAGCATAGTGAAGGGATGGACTAAAAGTATAACATGGTTCTGGAGGTGGGAACATGGCAATTGTTGGCCAGGGAACTGTTCTAACTGTTTGTCAAACCCATAGCTGGTATTAAAACTATTATAAGCACATCACCTAAAATGTCATATTTTTTAAAATTTCACTAGTGTTCCCCACTTTTAATTTTCTCAAAACTATGCTCCAGCAATAACCACTTTACTTACCTCTTAATAAATACTTAGTTTTCATTTTTACAGAAACAGACACAGGGAAAGTTCATTTGCTATTACAATTACAAAGGAGCAGTTTATCTTAAACCCAATTTTGTAAGTTCAGAGAGATATAACAAGAGTAAAGGTGTGTAGCTGAACACAGTTTGATCTCCAGCTCCATATATGGTCCCCCTGAGCACTGCCTGGAGTGATCCCTGAGCACAGAGCCAGCAATTAGCCCTAAGCACCACCAGGTGTGACCCAACCCCCGCTCCCCACTCCTACCACCAACACCTAATTATGTAAAAAGCCAAATCCATACACATGACTAGTCTCAGTGCTCATAAACAAAGAGAGAGGGGAAAATATTAGTCCCAAGGGCTCCTGGGTGGAGAAGTCAATAAAGCACAAGCAAGTCAAATGGGAACAAACAAAAAACCTGGAGACAGAGCTGGACCTTGAGAAAGCAGGAAGGACAGCAGCCCAGAGCAGGTGACACAGTAACCCCAGGTCATGGCATGGCCAGAGACTTGCAGACACCTCCCTCCTCTGGGCACATCATTAAGCACTGACCCCTTTAACACTTCCACAAGAAGAAAACATCCGACCCCATCAAAAATGGGGCGAGGAAATGAATAGAAACTTTCTCAAAGAAGAAATTCGAATGGCTAAAAGGCACATGAGAAAATGCTCTACACCATTAATCATCAGGAAGATGCAGATCAAAATAACAATGAGATATCATTTCACACCACAGAGACTGGCCCACATCCAAAAGAACAAAAGCAACCGGTGTTGGCGCAGATGTGGAGAGAAAGGGACCCTCCTTCACTTCTGGTGGGAATGTCAACTAGTTCAACTCTTTTCAAAAACAGTATGGACGATTCTCCAAAAATTAGAAATTGAACTCCCATTGGACGCAGCAATACCACTCCTGGGAATATATCCCAGAGAGGCCAAAACGTTTATCAAAGTGACATCTGCACTTGTTTGTTCATTGCAGCGCTGTTTACAATAGCTAGAATCTGGAAAAAACCTGAGTGCCCGAAAACAGATGACTGGTTAAAGAAACTTTGGTACATCTACACAATGGAGTACTGTGTAGCTATTAGAAAAGATGAAGTCATGAAATTTACATACAAGTGGTACTACATGGAAAGTATCATGTTAAGCGAAATGAGTCAGAAAGAGAGGGACAGACATAGAAAAACTGCATTCATCTGGGGGAACATAAAGTAACAAAATAAGAGACTAACACCCAAGAATAGCTGAGATAAGGACCAGGAGGTTTACTCCATGGCTTGGAGGCCAGTCACACATGTTGTGGGTAAAAGTCAGCTCAGATAGAGAAGGGAGCACCAAATAAAGGGTGTTGGGAGGATCCTTCCAGGATGGAAGATGCTTGCTAAGAGTAGACTCTAGACTGAACATGATTGCCACTCAATGCCTCTTTTCCAAACCACAGCACCCAAAAGGAGAGAGAGAACAAAAGGGAATGCCCTGCACAGAGGCAGGGTGGGATGGGGGGTAGGGGAGTGGGAGGGATACTGGAATAAGTGGTGGTGAAGAATGGGCACTGGTGGAAGGATGGGTATTTGATCATTGTATAACTGAAACCCAAGCACAAAAATGTGTAAGTCTACAACTGCACCTCATGGTGTTTCACTAATACAAATTAAAAAGACCCAAAAAACTGTGTTTTTCAGGAAATTTTGACACATGGTAAATCCTAAACATATGCTACCAAGTGAGTAAACCAGCAAGAAACAGAAATGCTATGTTGATTCAGCCTAGACAGGTACTCTAATGAGTTGGAATCTTGAAGACAGAATGAAGAGTTGCAGGTTCCTGGTGAGAAGAGGGAGGAGCGTGTGCGTTATTTACAGAGCAGTCTCCACCTTGAAGAGGCAAGGGGAGAGGAAGATGGAAGGCAGAACACTAAAAATTGCTCAGGTACAGCAGTGAGTAGGGAAACAGTGAGAAGTACAGCTCCAAGCAGAATTCCAGCAACAAAGCTCCATCCTGATAACCAGGTTGCACTGAAGGAATGTGCAGCAGCATCGTGCTAATGAAAACAGTATCTCAGAACCCGTTCAACTCTCCTAATCTGACTCAAATTTCCACATGAGTTTCTTGTCAAAAATAGTTTTAAAAAGCACGTCATGGCCCAAATGAGCAACTACCTGACAGCGGACACCTGCGGTTTTACAAGTGTTCTAGAAGTGAGACTTGAATTGTAAACCAGGATCTGCACCAACGCAGGGACCCTTCCCCCCAGGTATACCCGTGGCAGGGGTCATGGCCTCTTGGGTTGCTGCAGATCATGCATATGACAATTAATTTCCCTTTCATGCTGCACTGGACCCATATCTCAGCCTCCTTTACAGAACTCTTATGACTAAAGCCTGGCTACCCCAGCTGCATTAAGCCAGTAGTCTGCCATTCTATTCCAAGCAAAATTCAACAAAATAACTGTGAACACAAGAATCTGTACAAACCTAATTCAAAAGAAAATATTGCCTGGATCAGTGTTAGAGGTCCCACAGAATTCGCACAGGAGCACCAACGTACTATACTTGAAAGAGGAAGATACTATACTTGAAGGGGGAAGAAGAGAACACTATTGATCAAGCTGAAGCCTCAACAGGGAATACCCACATTAAGAATCTCTCTGATAAAGAATTCTGAGGTGAAGCTAAGAGGATGTTATTGAGCTCAAAGAAACAGTGGAATGGACATCCAATAAAATGGAGAGGATATGAAAGAAATGGTGGAAGGGGCAGTCAATACAATACAGAAAGAAATGAGAGCATAAATTTTTTAAAAAGCTAC